GTGTGTGTGTGTGTGTGTGTGTGTGTGTGTGTGTGTGTGTGTGTGTGTGTCCAATTCTCAAGTATACAAGGACCTGTGGTGGAGTGGGCTTTCAGGAACAAGTGCTTCCTGGTAATCCATAGGCATGGAAGGGAATGTCCCTACCACCTTCTGTGACAACTTAAACCATTCCTTTCTTTAAAAAAATTATAATGTGTTTTAAAATGTGGTTTTATAAATTATTATTATTTTACAAGATTCATGCTGTCTGCATGGTGCTTTATAGGGTGTATCTAGCTACAGCTGGAGCACTTCTGGGTGTTTTATGGCAAATTATTCTCAGATTACCCTTTAATGCAGGGAGGGCTGCCTGTTGTCTGAGCTCCCTGGGTCATACAGAAACCCTCAGCCTTGATACAAAACAGCTGCCTGTACTCCAAAAAGGAGAATTTCAGGCGGACGCAGCAGGGAAAAGGTTTTCGTAGCTGATGGAGGTTTTGAAATATGTTAAATTACTCTTTCCTTGCCATTAAAATATGATTTAATTTTGTTTCTAGCAAGTTATGTAACTAAGAAAGAAGTACTCAGAAGGGAGTTTGTTAAGCATCTTCTGGCAATACTTACAGTATGTCCTGAGGGGGAGCATTCCCCAGGGAGGCCAGCACAATACTCCTACTGACCTCCATGTCCCTGGGCCTCAGCCTGGCTGGGCCAGGGTCAGGGGGCCAACCCACAGGCCTCCCTCCCCTCTCCCTGCTGGGTCCCTGCTGAGACCAGCAACAAAGGGATCAATTGTCAGAGGCCTCCCTTGTCTGAGGGGCTCCATGAGCCTCTCTGAATGCTAAAGTGTATTCATGATGTAGGTGTGTATGCATATCTTTATGAGTATGTATACGTGTACACATGTGATGGTTCATGTCCACATGCAGACACATGCATACACATATAAGCAAGCACATGTACACACATGCACTGTGAGATTATGCACATGTCTTAGTGTCTATATACATGTGTGTGCATGCATACATGTGTGCACATGCATGAATGTGTCCATGTGTATACAAGTGTGTGTATATATGTGTAGATGTACACATTTGTGGTGTGTGTGTGTGTGTGTGTGTGTGTGATGCATGAAACTTGCTTAGAGAATTTCTAAGTTGCTGGTGCATCTTAGCAGCAGGAGAGACCTCAGAATTAAAAGTGGCCAGTGGTGTCTCCTAAGGAAAAGTATCTGGTCATCTCACAGCAGGTTATATAGTTGCCTTCATTGGGTGTTTGCGAAGGGATGGAAAATGTGGAAACATTTCCTTTCCCTTGCTTATGGAGCAGAGAAGGCATTAGCAGTCTTCTCACATACCTCTTGGTAGACTTTCCCTCATTGGTCTGTTCCAACCTGGGATTTTAAATCTAGATCCCTTAGAATTTTTCTGCACTGAACCTGTCCCTTTCCAGGGCTGCTTAATTGGATTCAGTACATTCTGTGTGTAGTTTCAGTCGTGTTTCTAGAATAACTGTGAGATGCTCCCTTCTCACTCACACCATAATTTAGCCCCCACTCAGTCATAGGACCTTTGTCCATGCCCTGATGTCATCTTGGTCCCTAACCCAATCTCTTCACAGTGGTCTGTAGGGAGCTGTGGCTGGTCTGGCCTTGTGTGGGACCCAGCCCTGGAGTCTCCATGGTTCATATTCTCTTCTTTAATAAAGTTGCCCTTTTAAAATGACAACAAAGCAGATTTGACCCAGAAGCTGGGGAAAGATGAAGAAAAATGCTTCCTTTATTTACCTTTACAGCAGTTCTCTCTCAGCCCCTTTAACCAGCACAGCTGCCACTGAACAACTTTTTCCGCTTTCTTTCCGTTCTTGACCCTCCCACCCCGTTTCCTCTCTGCTCCCCAGCAAGGGCTTATCTTTCAACTGTGGAAAAGCCACCAATTAAACTTTACTCCAAAGCTTATCAAAATATTCAGTCGGTAAAATTATCTTATAATTAGCCAAACTGTAAGCCAGGACTTTTTAACTGCAGGAAATGTAAAGTGCCTTGCCATGTGGGTCTGTAAATTGCGCATCTCGACCTTCTTGGCTCTAGTTTCTGCTTTTCTTTCCTTCCCAAAGTCATTTCCTCCTGTTCTATGTATTCTTGACACTCCCCAAGGCTTCTTTGCCTTCTATTTGCTTAAGCCTCAAAGAAAATACATTACTAGTTTAGTTGAGGTAGATAATTGAATAAATTCAGTTGAATGTTTTATAAAACCAATTTGATTTTTAATATTTCATGAATGTACATTTACATATTCCTTTGTTTTGGTTTTTTTTGGATGTGTGTGAGTACATGTGTGTTGAGGGGGTTAGAGCCTCAGGTGCTGTTTATCTTTTTTTTTTTTGATACAGGATCTCTCACTGGCTTGGAATTCACCAAGGCTAGGCTCACCAGCCATTGAGCCCCAGGGATCTGCCTATCTCCTCTTCCCCTGTGCTGGGACTGCAAGTACAAGCTACCACATTCTTTTTTTTTTTTAATGTGATTTCAAATAGGGTATTAAATTCAGGTCCTTATGCTTGCAAGGCAATAACTTTTTTAACTGAACTATCTTCCCAGCCCGTTTTTTTGGTACTTTTTATAAACTTCTGTCCACTTGCGTTGATTCCTGATGTTTCATCATCATTGGTTGTGTACTTTGGATGTCTACAGTGGTAACATGGAGCTGAATTATTCTGGAGCTGAGCTGGTCCAACAACATCAGGGGATTCTACAGCATGGCCAGCTGGATAGAGGCACTGGCTGTTCTCGTCTCAATGCTTTCAGTGTGCAGAGTTCTCCTTCCTCTTCACTGTCGCCACTCGTTTTACATCCCCACTGTCTGGAACCCTTCTGCCACCTTGCATTGATTAAACAGCATCAGACATGTCACCTCTCAGCCTCCACACCAATTCTCCTGGGGATATCAAGGAAAGCATGGATGATGTTTGGGGCTCTTAAAATGCAACTCAGACTTTTCATACAGAATGATATTGTAGACGGCTTAAGTTTTTAATTGCTGTGAGCTTCTTAAATTGGTAATGTCATAGCTGGGCATGAATGGATTCTCAAGACTTACATAGGCTCATTAGACACTGATGATCACCTTTTCCATGATGAAGTATTTCCTAAGTTCTTAAAAAAAACCTGAAAAATTAGGTTTCGGAATTCACTGACATCTTTATAAATGGGGTATTACTATATATAGTGCTAGTACTGGTAGTTATATTTATAGTGTTTCCCCTATTTGTCGGGGAGTAAGTACATACATTTATATAGCTATAAACACAAATAGAGAAAAATTGCTTCATCCCTATATTATTCTTGAGAGAAAAAATTATGTGTATGAGTGTTATGCCTGCATGTAGGTAAGTGCACCTGTGTCATGCAATGCCCACGGAGGACAGAAAAGGCTGTTGCATCCCCTGGTACCAGAGTTACGGACAGTTGTTTGCTGCCATGTGGGTACTGGGAATTGAACCCAGGTCTTCTGCAAGAACAGTCAGTGTTCTTAACCTCTGAGCCATCTCTCCAGCCCCTATTTTGTTCATTTTAAAGTTGGAAAACCGTGACTCTGAGAGCCTCAGTAACTTGCTGATACTGCTGAACTTGGCTGGCTAGCCTGACTCTTTGGTAATCCACTGCTCACCTTGTGTGAACTCACCAAGGATCAGGCCTTATGATTTTGACCTGTACTTAAGAGGTTGCCACGACACCCCTGCGGAGAAAAGAGGAAATCGCAGTTTCACCTCAACCTCCTGTTGCCACTACGACCAGTTATTTTGTGCACCATCTCCAGAAGCCACTTACATCTTGGGCTTGATTTCTTTGCTGTCTTCAGAGTAAGGCTTTGTTAGCCTTGAGCTGATGGGATCCATATGAAGGCTACGCTGATTTCCAGGAAGCCCCTGGCCCAGATGGTCAGTCCCTTGGTGGCTTGGGTTCCACTTGATTCTTCTGGGGTAGAGGTCATAAGTAGACCATTCATGGTTCTAATGCAAGCTTTGGTATTAACCACATGCTGCCACCCCAGCCTTCCATTGCTGTCCAAGAGCTAAGACAGCCCTACTCTGCAAGTTTCTCTTGACTTAAGGATGCCTTCTGTCTGATCCACAATGAAATGTTCTTGGCCTTTTAAAGATCCTTTCAAGGGGCTGAAGAGATGGCTCAGTGGTTAAGGGCCCTGACTGCTTTTGTGAGGACCCGGGTTTGATTCCCAGCACCCACAAGGCAGCTACAAACCGTCCTTAACTCTAGTTCCAGGGGAATCCGAAGCCCTCTTCTGACCTCTGCAGCCTTGCATGACAGGGGTGCACTCACATACATGCAGGAAATACACTCATACACATAAAATTAAAAAATAAATATTAAAAGACCCTTTCAAAATACGACAGTCCTTTAAGAGCAAAATTGAAACCAAAGAATTATTGTTAAAGGTATTATTTGTGGAGTTTCAGTAACAAGGTACATTAGGAAATGTTTTAAAAATAATTGACAAAATTGAATTAACTTTCTTGTGATCTCAGCTTGTTCTTGATATTAATTTTTTTCTCTCCTTAATTACAGCTTGGGTTGACGATTGCCATTCGCTACAGCCACAGGTAAATCTTTACAATTTTTAAAAAAATATTATTTAAAGAAATGTGCTAGGGATTTAGAATGTCTGGTTTTCTCGGGTCTTGAAGCCTTTTGAGTTGTTTCGGTGGCTGCTTTTCCATGATGTTGATGACACGGGTGAAACTGTCTTAGTGGCTTGGTTAGTAACAGCAAATTGCTATTTGGAGGAATATGTAGTAGTAGGTGGTACATTTTTATTTTTTAATTATTTGTATTCAGAAAGTATCTCACAATATTTCCCAGGCTGGCCCCAGTCTAGCAATCCTCCTGCCTCAGCCTCCCAAATGCTGGGATTATAGGAGTGTGCCAAGATACCTAGTTCTTCTTCTAATGTTGTAATTTAGAGACATCATCTCACTTATGGCTCAAGTTGACTTCAGACCTGTGATCCTCCTGCCTCAGCTTTCAAAGTACTAAGATTACAAGTGCGCCATCATGAACATCAACATGTTAGAGATTTCTTGCATGTGAGGCCAGGCCAGGCCTGTATGTGAAGCCCTTGCTCAGTCTACATATGGCCTCCTCTTCCCATCTTGTTACATTTGGTAGTGGCACAATGCCCTTATTTTTGTCATGCTTCATGATTTCCATCTTGGTGTTAACTTTGTCATGTTTCTGAAAAATGGTTTTTCTAGTGCCATCAATGCAATCTTGTTCTATAAATGCTTATTTCCAGAATCGTTTTTCCTGTCTGTGTGCATCAAAATGTGTTGTGTTGAATAAGCCAAACCTAGCCTCAATGGAGGGGTGATAAGCCGTATCCTCCTGTCCGCACACAAAGTGCTCACAGCCTCCCCAAAGTGCCAGCTCTGGATCAAAGGCTTGTGGCTTAGGTTTGGTCAGCTCTCAACAAGCAACTCAATGAGGATCTATACGGCTTCAAAACAATTTCTTTCCCTAAAAATATCTGTAACAAGTTGTATGTACATCTTTGATTTAAGGTGTGAGACTACTGAGGTATGAACGGAAGAGGGCAGGAGTGGGTTTGAACTTCTTGAAATTGGTGTGTGAGAAGAAAGGTGTTATAGGAGACATTTCTGGGGTATGTGGAAGAAGGTTGCCTCAGGGAGGCTCATGGTTGTGCAGAGGTAGAGATCCGTCTGCCCCTTGTCTATCGCTTGGGCTTGTGGCTGAGGCCCCATAACAGAAGGCAGATAATGAGAGAACAATGTGCATGTTTATTTATTACATTTTACACAACCCAGAAGCTTCATAAGGAAACGAAGACCCGAAGTGGAGAAGCAGGATCGGACAGAAAGATAGGATCTAATGGAACAAACTCAGATGGACCTTTCTGCTCTGCTTCTCCAGAGATCAGGATGTTCCTTTTGGGAGTGAGGAGGGCACCTCTCCAATAGGAGTTTATGGTCTGTTGGTGCCCTTCTTCTGTTATTTTCACAACTGACAAGATGCCATATTTTGGAGCTATGTGTCCTGAACCCCATCTACTGCCTGTATGTTTCTGAGTCCTGTGCATGCATGGTGCATGCATGTGGCATGCATGCAGAGAAGCAGTGTTCTGCAGAAGCACGCCATTCTGGATCAACACAGCCAGGTGGATGCAGCTGATGAGACATGCTCCACCATGTCCTTGAGAGGCATGGTGTATTTTATATGCTAAGCTTCTTCAGATTTAAAACTTGGGAACACAGAGAGAACCTTCATCTGAGTTCTCAGGCTTGACATTGCTGTGGGCTTCATTGGTACAAGGCATTTCTTCCAGGATACTTGTCAAGAAATAAGTTAGACAGCAGCCAGGGGATACCAAAGATGCCAGTATCACCTGGCTTTAGTTTATTTGACCAGCTGTGTGATTTTGGACAGGTCATTTGTTCCTCTAGTTTTAGGTTCTATAATCCGCTCTCCAATTTATCTCGGGAAAGTTCTTTACCCTCTGTTCTCCTCTCTTGTTTCTTAAATAGAAATAACCACCATGAGGGCTGCTGTGAAGAACAGATATTATAAGCATAAATCTCCAAGTTATGTCAAGTACTGAATAGGTCTGAGGTAAAGATGGTTGACTTTCAAAGCACTGGTCATCTTAATGACAGGGCATAGGGGAAGAGTTGCCTGAGATTCCATCCATGCCAAATCTTGGTCCTGAGTGAAGGAATCGTAGGCAGTGAGAAGTCTTCTTTGGAGATTTTGGAACTTTGGAATTTCTCATCCTGTAGCCACACTTATGGTATCTATTCCAATTTCTATGGCTGCTCCACATCACTTATCTATCACTGATCTGACTGGTATATTCTATACATCATGGGTATGAAACAGGCAGTGGTGATAGCTTATCTCTGCTCACAGTTTGGAGCCTCTGCTTGAAGACTTGGGGGTTAGGAAGCTGTTTTCTGATAGCTGAGTTTTGCTTGTCTTCTGGGAGTTGCTGGCTGATGGCTGGAGGCCTCTGTTCCTCTCTGTAAGAGCTAGTTTGGGCTTCCTCATAGCATAGTGGTTGACTTTCTCAGAGTGACTGCCCCCAAAAGACAGATGCAGGAGTAGGAAACTACTCCTTTCTGTGACCCATCCTGAGAAGTCAAATAGTATGACTTTCCCCTTATTGCAGGTTGGAGTAGCCACAAGCCTCCACCTTTATTCAAAGGGAGGCAGCAGAGACCTTGCTTCTGAGCATGAGGAGGGTCAGTAACCAGTGCACATGGAATGGAAGATCTCAGAGTGGCCTTCTTGATGGTTAGTTTTAATTGTTTGCTTGACACAACCTAGAATCACCTGGGAAGATGGTGGCAATGAGAGATTGCCTAGTGGTTTGAGGGCATTCCTGTGAGGAACTTTTTCTTGATTGCTGTCATTAATGTGGGAAGGCCCATCCTGAAAGCGGGTGGCATCATTCCCTGGTATGGGGTCCCAGACTGTTTAAGAGTAGAAAAAGTGAGCTGAGCACTGAGCACCGAGCATGCCTGCATTCATTTCTCTCTGCACTTGACTGGATGTGGTGTAACTACCAGCCTCTTTAATTTCCCAATCAGAATGTAACCTGGAACTGTGAGCTAAAATAAACCCTTTTTTTCCTAAGTTATTTTCTGTCAGATATTTTCAATCACAGCCACAGAAATGAAATTAGAGTGCGTTCTTTGGAAAATTCTGTCTGCCACAGAGTCTAACTGAATGTGGAGTATTTGAGAGAGACTTGCTTGCAGTTTCCAAGGTCCATTGCTCCTTACCTTGGGGTCTAAGGACCTGTGAATAAATGAGTGATGCTTGAAGAACAGCAGTCACAAAAGGCTCATCAAGCATCTGGCGTCAGAAGACTATAGGACCATAAATACATTCACATCATTTTGCAATCAACAGCACTACTTATCTTTAGAATTTTTTCATTCTACCATACTATAACTGTGTACCCATTAAACACTAATCCTTTCTCCCGTTTCTCTCCATTCCCAGCCCAGGGAGCCATGTGTGACTTTCTGCTTCCGTGCATTTAACTGCTTGAAACACCTCATATTAGTGGAATTAAGTAGTATGTGTTCTTTTGTGAGTAGCTTATTTTGCTGAGCATAGTGTCTTCGAGAGTCATCCTTGAATCTTGAATCTATGTGCCAGAATGTCCTTCTTTGTTAAGGCCATTGTATTCCATTGTATGTGCTTATCCTTGCATCCATCAGTGGACTCCATCCACCATTTAGCTCCTGTGGATAACACTGCTGTGAACATGGTGTACAAATGTCTGAGTCCCCACTTTCACTTATTTTGGACATATACCCAGAAGTAGAATTACTGAATCATATGGTAATCGTAGATTTAATATTTTGAGGAGTATTTACATCATTTGCTTTTGATTGCTGCCAACAATGGGCTTGTATCATGTCCATACAGTTCTGGTTACTTCAGAGCCTCACCGTTGCTACTGAAAAGTTATTTCCATTTCTTTGTCAAGTTTACTCAGAGCCCAGGTGCTAAAGTGAGGGCTTCTTTGTGTGTCTGGGGCACTTTGGGAAGCAAGATTTGAGAATTTAGGTTCTAAGCACCAGATCTGTTTCTAAAAGTCTAGCAGAAGGGCCAGGGACAAGAGTAGTGATGAGGGAAGACCCAGTAGACACCTGTAGAAGATGCAGATGGGGATGAAGACTAGGAGGAGGCAGATGTGGTTCACTGTCCCAGAATGACAGTGCTGTGAGGATGGGTTCACTTTGTAGAGGAGTGGTCTTGGGCATCTTAAGGAGATGAGTGGGAGAAGGAGATGAAGGACTAACTGAAATCTGTAACCTTGGTGAGCATGGAGCATGCAGCCCCTCTCAGGATGCTGTCGACATGGGACCAAAAGTGGGGGCAGAGCTATTCCAGACCAGGAAGGGCCCTTGTGTGGCAACTGAGGGACCTGAGGCCCCCAAACATCCAGGCTTTGTTTTGTGCGTGTATAGTGGCACTTCAGCTATCAAATCTCTTTTGTTAAAATGGACAGTGTTTTAGGATTAAGACCCCCTCCCCCCAGTACACAGTCATGCACATGCACACACACACACACACACACACACACACACACACACACTTCATCTGCTTCCACTTCTGCCCCCAGACACCTCTCACTCCTGTTATATCAGTCATCCACATCTGTTTGTGTGGCACAGGGGTACAGATTTGGGAGTGAGATGCCATGTAATGTTGATGCTGAGGGGTAGGGAAGTAAAGGAAAATACAGTCATATCCGGAAAGAATAAACGTACAAAGCTAGAAGAGCATCTGCCACGATGGATGGTGAGCTAACAACAAATCTTGCCCACAGTCCATTTGTAGTCATAGTGTCTTAATTTATTTTTATAAAGTCAAGGCATTTTTGCAGAGTGGAAAATTGTCTCTTTGATACTCATTCCCCATTGTTTGGCTTGAGGCTTTCGGGTAAAATCCACATTGTGTGACAACTGGGTAACCCCCAGAAGTGCCCTTTGCAGATAACAGCTCTCTGGGGCCCCACCACCCACGCAGTGGGGAACAATTTCCCCAGTGTGTGGGTGTTTTGTTTTGTTCT